CTTATGACAGGCTTTGCACCCGCGCCGCTCAGCGAATACGCGGAGATGCGCAACGATCTCTGTGGCTGCATGGGCCGCATCCTGACCGACGTCGGCGGCGTCGTCGGCGGCGTCGCCGCCGCGTCGCCGTCGGCGTCGTTGCCGATGGCGGAGAATCGTCGCGGCACTTGCACTAGCGATTTGGAAACTTCGAATCTTAGCGGGCTCGACTTGAAAAACTTCGGATATTAGCAGGATTGTGGTTCCTTTCGTATCTTCGTATTGAGAATTGGTGGCTGCGAGCGCTCGTATGATACATCACTATCGTTCGTCGGGGAAGGTGAATACCGCCGAGGTGCAAACCTCCGTGCGCGCGATCAAGACCAAGCGCGACGGCACGGGCAAGGCGCGCATCTGTACCGACGGCTCCCCGCCCCCGGAGAAGACGAAAGACTCCGCGGGATATAATAGAGATCCGGCTCGTCCTCGCGGGACCAGCCCGAGCAAGTAGCCCCGGCTGGCGGTGAGCCGAAATGCAGCAAACATTGACATGAAGGCTACATGATGCCGCGGCATCAGGAGAAAGCCGCGCCGACGTTGAAGTGGTCTTAACGGTCTTGGCGGCAGCTTGCTAATGGCCTGCGATTCCGTAGTAGTTGCCGCCGCCGGCGGCGTGTGTCCGGCGGCCGCGGCTGCGGCGGGGCCCATCGACTGGGCTCTCGTCGCGGTCGCGGTCCTCGGCGCCGCCCTCGCCCTCGTCGTCGCCTTCGGCGTCGGCAAGATCGCCGCGTTCGACGCGAAGTTCGCCGCGCAGGAGGCGGCGACGAGCGCGCGCTCCACCCGCGTGGACGCGCTGCTCGCCGACGTCATCGACGCGGTCGCCGCGCTGCGCGGCCCCGCGGCGCCGCCGGCGGTCCCCGCGGGCGTGGGCTGCGGCAAGACGGCGGAGTTCGCGCGGCGCATGCAGAACCTGCAGTTCGAGGCCCGCGAGCTCGCCGCGCAGGCGCGCGTCGTCGACGCGGCCGAGGGCCGCGTCGACAACGCCGAGCCCCGCTCCTCGGCCCCGCTCATGGAGGTCAACTCGGCCCGCAGCGGCGGGTTCCTGCTGCAGAAGAAGTAGGGCCGCGCGCGCGCGCGCGCGCGCGCGCACCAAGGCGCGCCCGCCCCAAGACCCAAGCCCCTAGAGTAAGACTAAAGTCGCCGACCCGCCGGGGACAGGGCCCACGGGGCTCGCCGCGCCTCGACGGACAGGACACGTCCATCAAGATCGTCCATCAGGCAGCACAGTGAAGTGCAATGCAAAGCTCTTGAACTGGCGAGCCGAGCTCTCCGAAGGGCATGGACGCCGCGGTCTGCGCGTCCTTCCTGGCGCGCTGCGTGGCATCGCTGCCGGCGCTGGGCAGCGTGCAGGAGCTGCGCACGGCCATCGATGCGGGTGGCGCCGCGCCGGCGGTCGCGCTCCAGGCCGCGCTCGAGGTCTGCGCCGAGGTGCTCGTCTACTCGCCGCGCGGCGTCGAGATCGCGCGAGCGTGCGCGCGGACGCCGCAGCCGCGCGAGGCGCTGCTCGACCTCGCGGCGCGCGGCGCGCTGGCCTTCGCCGGACCTCGCGTCGCGTGGTCCGACGCGCTCGCGGCCGTCGGGTGCCGGTCGGACCTGCGGGCGCGGCGGCGGCGGGCCGTCTCGGCCTTCGCCGCGCTGCTCGTGCCGCTGCTGTCGGTCGAGGAGCTCGTCCCCTGGGTGCGCGTCGTCGCGTCGCAGGCGCTGTCGGCCGTCGACGGCGGCGGCGACGAGGCCGTCGCCGCGGACGCCGCGCGGCTCGTGGCGGACTTCCCGACGGTGCGCTTCGCGTGGGACGTCGACCCGGCCGCCGCGCCCGGCCCGGCGCGGCGGCCGCCGCTCTTCGAGGAACACGCGCCGCGCGACGCGCCGGCGACGGGGCCGCTCGTCCTCTGCGAGGCCCTCGCGGACGCGTTCGGCGTCGCGTACGGCCCCGGGCGGGAAACAAAAATATGCGACACGACTTCAATATTCAACTATTCTCACGGGTGTGACATCGTATGCTCGTTGTTTCAAAGGAACCCGCCGAGAGAAAACGAACTGTCCAAACATCAGCCGAGATGGAGAGGTTTGAAGTGTTCGCCGGACAGCGCGTTCGACCGGTCGTTTCCGGCACAGGTACGGCCCCGTCGGTGGCCCCGAGGCGCCGCGCGCCGCGGCCGCGCGGCCCGTGCCGTCGTTCCTGCGGAACGCGGCGCGGCTGGCGCGGAGCCTCGCGGCGGCGCCGGGCCGGCCGCCGGCGCCCGTGCTGCTCCGGGGCGCGCGCGGCGCGGGCAAGACGGCCGCCGCGCGCGCGGTCGCCGCGCGGTGCGGCTTCGAGCTCGTCGAGTTCGTGCTCGACGACAACGCCGACGCGCGCGCGCTCGTGGGCTACCACGAGTTCGCCGAGGACGGCAGCTTCGTCTGGCGCCGGGGCCCGCTCGCGGCCGCGGCCGCGCGCGGCGACTGGGTGCTCGTCGAGGACGTCGACCGCGCGCCCGTCGAGGTCCTCGCGCTGCTCAAGCCCCTCGCGCGGCGCGGCGTGCTGTCCGCGCCG